TGTGTGTGTGTGTGTGTGTGTGTGTGTGTGTGTGTGTGTGTGTGTGTTTGTATTGTCTGTGGTGTTTGTGTGTGTGTGTGCGTGTGTGTGGGCGGTGGCTTGCTAATGTGACAGTTAATGTTTGTCTGCATGGGTTCCATTGTTTGCTGGAGTGTGCTTGGGTTCTAGCGTTGCATCGGCGGGAGGGCTGGTCCATGTCTCTCTTTGTTTTTTTTTGTTTTGTTTTATAATTTTATTCATTTTTAAATTTTAATAGGAAAACACCCTGTGAAGGCCTGTGTTCCCGTGGTGGCGGAACTGAGGCTTTCTTATAGATGGTTCCGATCCATTGGTGGGGAGCTTCACCTGCTGGGAAACGAGTCCAGCGTCCCTCGTACATAGGACTACACAGAGTGAACCACTGGGACCGAACAGAATGAACCACTGGACCATTATCCAGCTTCACTTATTTTCTGGTGCTAAGGGGAATGGCTGTTTTTGTGTGTGCTGACTTTGGTATTGTGATTGCGGTGGATATGGTTGCAACTGCCTCCTCCTCCTCGCTCCTCCTCCCTTCTCCTCCCTCCTCCTCCCTCCTCCTCCCTCCTCCTCTCCAGGTAACCAAGCAACCATCCATGCTTGAAGGTGGCCAGCTCAGACAGTACCAGATTGAAGGGTTGCAATGGATGCTGTCTCTCTACAACAACAATCTAAATGGCATCTTGGCAGACGAGATGGGCCTCGGGAAAACGATTCAGACCATTTCCCTGATCGCCTACCTGATAGAGAACAAGGGTGTGATGGGTCCGCACCTGATTGTCGCACCGAAGGCTGTTTTACCCAACTGGGTCAGCGAGTTCACGCATTGGGCACCAACGTGAGTTCCGTCACATTATTATAAACCTCTTGTATCGTAGATAAACCTCTTTTTGTAATGTGTAAGTAATAAGTATGCTTGCTTTCCCTCATTTAACGCGGCATTGGCTCTTTGGGAACTTGCCCCACCACTCACCACACTCGTGAAAGTGGAAAATTATGGCGGCGTATCTTTCCATGTTCTAGCAGAAGATTCATTCTCATTTTGCACATTTGGTGAGTCGTGGAGCGAAGCCCTTTCTCATGGAGATGTACTTTTCTCTCCTCCTCGATGATTCCCTCAGGACTGTCTTACCGGGCTTCGAACCCATCAATCGGTCAAGATGTGTGCAGGTGTCCCTCTGCCACTGCAGAATTCTCTAGTGGGGGTTTGGACATGAAGTTACAACGGTGGCAGATCTTCGTCGTATTTGATGCAATAGTGTTGATTGCGTCCTAATTTTGTTTGCACAATGAGCGAGCTCCTGCTGTAGATATTGGGCCTCGCTCCACTACACAACACTCTGCATGCATCGTATTCGATATGTTCGTGCTGATTTTGCATCCTAATTCTGTTTGCGTGATGAGCAAGCTCCTGCTGTAGATATTGGGCCTCGCTTCACTACACAACACTTTTCATGCACGGACTCCTTCTGGACCAGGTGCACTCATACAACAACACTTTGAATGTATCGGCTCCAGAAAGCGTCCAAATGCATTTAGAGTCTTGTGTAGTGGAGCAAGGCCCATTGTCTCAACATGCGATGTGTGGGAGAGTGACAATGGTCTGCGAAAGACGATTGTGCTGTAGGTGCCTGAGCAGTAGGTTTCGTAAAGTCTCCATGTTCGCCCAACTTTGTATTTTACTATTTTGGAAGCGTAAACAGTATATTGAAATTCAGTTGTACTACCACTTGACATTTCCCCTGGTGGGGTTTGTTTTCAATGCTACCCCACCCAAAACAGTCATAAACATACTTTTGACTCTTGAGTAAACTTTTCACTACCCCACCCAAAACAGTCATAAACATACTTTTGACTCTNAGTCATAAACATACTTTTGACTCTTGAGTAAACTTTTCACTACCCCACCCAAAACAGTCATAAACATACTTTTGACTCTTGAGTAAACTTTTCACCATCTCCAAGGGTTATTTCCACTTACTTTTCACCTGTACCTGTTCCCTATGTGACTGACATGGTGCTCTGCTTGAGGCGACCTTGAAGTACTGCTGACCAATATGATGTGCTTTTCGTACTCGACAGCTATATGTGCAACTGAACACAATGTGTTGTGCCCTCTTCTCGTTGAAGGAAGGGGTAAGGAATGGAAAGGGTCGGAGGGCAGGGCACTCTTTCTTTGCAAGCAAACAAACAAATATGAAGGGGTCAGGCATGCAAGGGGAGAGGGTTAGGCGTGCTATGTGCACCCGTGGAACCCGTGGGAAGTTGGCCCGCCTTGGAGTGACCGGGTTAAGTATCGGGTGGGCGGAGTGTGTGCTGATCGCCGTGTCTGTGGTGTGGTGTGGTGTTGTGTGTGTGTGTGGTGTGAGTTCAAGGACGCTACTTTCTTTCCTTTTCGGGATTTGTCAATCTGATTTGTTTGTTAACTCGTTTGCATGGAACTGACCAAGGGTCTTGATTAATTTTGATCCAGTCTAATAGACTCAGGAATGTGTGCTCTGGTGGTCTTAATGTCTGTTGTTGGTGGGTGATGCTTGACAAGACACACTTATATCATTATATGTACACACTACCATATGTGCACACGAGCACACATGTCGAAACACATGTTGGCACATGCGCACACGC